GTTCTCTGAGTCCAAAAAGGATTGTTCTTTTTTTTGTCCCCAAGTCAAGTTAGTCATGGCCATATGACTTGATTAGGCCACATATGTTTTCCTGGGTTGGCAACCTGTGGAGGCACATGTCAAGACAGAACCTCCATACACCTGGGTTGCTGAGTGACTGACTATTGCAACACAAACTCATTATGTGAAGAAAAAAAAAAATCACTTTGTTGATTTAAACCACTTAGATGATGGGGGTGTTCGTTATAGCAGCATACAACCAGCCTGTCCTGATGGACACTATTTTTTTTTCTACCCTTATTTTGAAATAATTATAGAATCACAAGAAGTTGTGCAAATAGTAGAGAGGTCCCCTGAGCTTCCTCCCCCATGGTTGGTAACATCCTACATAATTACAGTACTTTATTAAACCCAAGAAAGTTACTTATCAACAAGCCTTCATGGGTGCCCTGGAATATGCTTTGAAAACACACCTTTTTAGGATTTTTTTTTAGGGAGAGCCTACATGCTTCCTCCCCTAGACTGTCTACAACGTAAAAGGGAAGGAAAATGATTTTTTAAAGTTCATCAGTGTCCATTTTCTTTTTTAATTTATTGATTGGGAGAGAGGGATTTGTTGTTGCATTTATTTATGCATTCATTGGTTAACTCTTGTATGTGCCCCAACCAGGGATCGAACCCACAACCTTGGTGCAATGGGATGACACCCTAACCAACTGCACCACCTTGGCCAGGGCAGGAGAGTGACATTGGAGATGAGGCTCAGGGGAAGATTTGCATTATGGGAAGAGGGACAGGAAGTCTGCAGTGTAAAATTTGTGTAGCTGAAGTAGATATAATTTGGCTGGAGAGGTGTCAGACTCAGATAATCAGGGCCCTATGTGCACTCAGGAATGATAACAGTTTAGAAGCCTCTGGCCACATGGGACAAACAGCATGGCCAGGAACCATGGTGGAAGCTGGGGAACCAGGAAGGAGCTGACGACACTGGTCCAGACTAGCGATGACTCGTGGTGGTGACTCAGATGGGGGCCAAGGATGGAGCAGGTGGATGGATTGAAGAATTTAAAGGAGAATGGGTTGAGAAGAGACTGACAGCTGTCAGAGGGGAGGCCGGGATGAAGGCTGGGTATAAAAAGTGAAGTGATTAAGCAAAGAAAAAACCACCACCTCATAGACACAGACAACAGTATGGTGGTTACCAGAGGGAAAGGGTGGGGAGAGGTAAGAGAGGGCACAGGGGGGGTAAGTCATGATAGAAGACTTGGTTTGGTGAACACACAATACAATATATAGACGATTTATAGAATTGTACACCTGAAACCTACTATGTAATTTTTTATTAACTGATGTCACCCAAGTAAATTCAATTTAAAAATTAGGCTCTATGTCATGATACGGAGAGCTGCGAGGTTCTAGAACTGCATGGAGGATGGAGGATGTGTGGCATTGTGTCAGGTATGCAGTCCCATAGTCTTCCTGGCTGCCCCCTCCCAGTCCCAGCTACGTCAAGGCACTCTGCGGGTTCCTTTCCTGCCCTGACACCTGACATTCCAGCCTTAAGCCATTCCATGGAAGTCCCACGCATGGCCTGCTGCTTCCCTGGACAGAGAACCGCACCCCACTGCTCAACGGACCACCCTTTCCGTGGGGCCATTTCACTCCGCCAGACCCAAGGCCTTTCCTCCTGACCCAGAGCAAGTCTCTGCTCCTGAAGACTTGTGGCCCACAAGCGTGAGCTCAAATCTGTGTGGGCGTGGCAAGTGCCTCACCCTCTCTTAGCCCCACTCGTATCACCTGTGAGAAGGGCACAAAGTCCCCCACCCCTCAGGGTTGGTGGGAGGAAGGGGGAAGGCACTGACCAACAGGGCAGAGATGGAGGGAGAGGCCATCCTCATAGAAGGGTGCTGAGAGCAAAGGCTGGTGGGGGTGGGAGGAGGCAGCGAACAGCAGGAGTTGACTGATGGAGGCCCCTGGTTCGTGGCCAGTGTCCACATGAGCTTGGTTCCAGGACCTCAGGCCAAGGTTGACATGGCAGAGCCAGGCCAGGGGCCTGCAGCCCTGACCTCTCACCCCTACCAAAGTCCATGTGCTCCTGGGCCACCACGACACTTGGCTTTGCACATGTGGACACGCAAACCAACTCTGTCAACTCCTTTTATTTTTTTCTCAGAATAATTTTCCTTCTCATTGTCACAGAAAACATAAAAATACCCGAAGTGAAAACCTTCCTGAATATGTAGTTTTCTCATCTTCTAGTGGCTGAGAGATGCAGGGAGCTGCCCGAGATCACACAGTTTGGAAGTGTCAGGGCCAGGATTCAACCCCCCCCAACCACCTGACATGGGAGGAGGGCAAACGCAGCTTGAGAAACCTGTTCCAAGACTAGCCGGCCCCGTCTTGGCCAGATGCTTCTGTTCTGTGCCTCAGTTTTCACATCTGAAAACAGGATAATCATGAGGTGAGCAGTGGGCTCAGACCTCATTTCCTGGGTCTTCAGGCTTCATAAGCCTTCCCAACCCCTGGCTCCCTCCTTCCTTAGCAACAGAACCACACACAGCAAGAGCAGAAAGGCTGCATTTCTCAGCGTCCTATGCAGCTAGGTGTGACCATTCGACTGCATCATGGCCAATAGCACATAGGAGTGTGTGTCAGTTTCCACAGAGGGTCTCTAAAGGGGGGCAGGGGGTGCCTCCTATTGGCAGCTGGGAATATGGAATGAATAGATGGAGCTCCTGCAACCGCGTGGGCCAGGAGGTGAAGTGGCTGCGTGTACTTCTGCACTTTGAGGCACCAACTCCAGACTCTGACATGAGAGATATGAACTCGTGTCTAACTTAAGTCAGAATTCTCAAACTATAGCATCATAGTTTTCTCATTTTCCAGTTCTAAGTGTACTCTTTCCCCCCTCTCAAGGGACTAATATTTTAAATTGGTCTCATCCTGACTACCATGAAACCAAGGGTTTGGTGAGATGATTTTCTGTAAAGATTAAAATAAATTCAAATGTATTAAAATAAAGACAAAGCTATTAAGAGGGGGGTGAAAACAAAGGCGGTGGGGGCGATTTTCAAAATGATGTAAGGAGGACCTTGGCAAATCTCATCCCTAACAGCATCAACACTGAAACTACAGTGTTGTCAAAAACCATATCAGGATTCTGGAGATTTATCAAAGGAATTTGACAAATTAAGCATTTATTCAAGAAAACGGAAAGAATGACAGAGCAGTGGAGACAGTATTTTTTGCCTGGGGTTGTCTCCCCCACTTTCCCACGGGGGCCTCCCAGCTTCTGCCCACTGCCATGGAAATCCCTGTGGAGGAGGCTGACTTGATCTGGAGCTGAGTGGGAAGCCTCAGGCCCTGGGGCTGCTGGAAGTAGTAGGGATCTGAGAGGAGAAGGAATGGGCAAGGTGAGGAGGTCTCCTAACTAGCGTAAGTGGGGATCCTGGTCTCAAAAGATTGATAGTCAGACAGGAAGTCCAGGGATGAGACAGCCTCAGGTGGCCCCATACATCCTGAGGGGCTGGCCGCATGCATGCCTGGGTGAGCTGGAGAGAGCCCCGTCAACCCACAAATCTATGCAGCTTGCTCTCAGGGAGGCTGTGTGCATGTGCTGAGAAAATGCAAGAGGGACGGGCAGGGAGCAAAGGTCTGACTTGCAAAATGCCTGAGCCCAGGCCGCTGGCACAGGGCCTCACTGACTCCGGTGTTTGAGCACCACCTCTGAGCCACAAGCTGACCTTGAAGCTAGGCTGACCTGGTGTAACGCCGAGAGGAAGCCAGATTAAAATTAAAGAATTAAAAACAAACAAACAAGAACTGAGCAACCATCAGCTGCTGCACACTGTTGGGGAGACATACACTGTAGTTAGTTCAGCAACGACTAAGCAAACAATAAACAAAACAAAACACAACTCTCCTTGGGAGGAATCGGAATTCAGAGTTGTGGCAATCTGTTTTTTAAATGCCGACTTTTAGCCCTGGCTGCGCAGCTCAGCTGGTTAGAGCGTTATCCTGATATGCCACGGTTACTGGGTTCGATCCCCAGACAGGGCACATACAAGAAAAAAAAAAAAAATCCAATAAATAAAAAATAAAATAAAATGCCCACTTTTGAACAACAAATTCCAAGACATGCAAAGGAACAAGGAAGTGTGACCAACACTGAGGACAAGGGCAGCCAATAGAACCTTTCCCTGTGGGGGTCCAGGTGGTGGACTTGAAAGCACTGACGGCGCTGTATGGCCTGCCTGTTCATGTGACCATGCCCCTGATCCCACCGTGGCTGCAGGCAGGGCAGGGAGGCTTGAGCAAAAGATGGGAATGACAGTGGCACCCAGCAGGCCAACAGCCTGAGCTTGTCCTTAGATGGTGTGAGGTCGGCCTCAGTATCCACCGTGAGAGGCTCCCCGGGAGCTGGTGACAGGAGGACACGCGGCTCCTCAAGGCTGCCAGGCTTCACCGCCAATGCGCCAGGAGCGGGAACAAGTCCACCAGAAGAAGGCAAAGGGCTGAGTTTTGCTGTTGGTTTAATTTATTCTGTTTGACATCCAGTGACACTGACATACCCCCGCCGGGCCCGGCCCCCCGGCCCCAGCGAGCGTGACCTGTCCAATAAAATACAGTACAAGGAGTGGACGGCTACACACATGCATCCACGGCTTAAACTACAGTGATTCCAAACTGCGGCCGCAACAGTACTGCCAGGAAAGGAAAAGAAAAACAGGCGTCGTGTGTTCCCCAATTCATAATTCTTTTTTTTCTTTTTTTTGTCATTTTAAACAGTTAATGCTGTTAACAAACGCTACTGATGCCAGGACAGGACCAGACACAAACAGCCCTACATCTTCTCTGTCATATAAATATGGAAGATTTTTGTTTATACAGTTATACCCCACGTCTGAAACTACATCTGCTGCTACCCGTTACTGCTAAGAGCTACACCGCCTCGGCTCTGGGACGAGGGGCTTGGGGTCGAGACTCTGGAATGTCCGGATTCAGTCTTCCTCGCTGCCACTTCCTGAGCGGTCCTGGAGGGGACAGAAGAGAGCATGAGCTGTTTGCATCCTGGGGGGTACAATGAGGCTGAGACGCTGGTAGAGGCAATGCTTTTCCTGGGTGTGTGAGAGCAGCCCAGGCACTGAGACTGGAGGCGGAGCGGACTCTGGCCTCAGCCCCTTCTGCCACGCCTTCTCTCGCCTGAGGACTGGCCCCGTACCCACACCGACTCTTCCTTGGAATCTGGGAGTCTCACCAAGTCCTCCCTGCTTCATCCACTGCGTTTGCCCTGTCCTTGTGCCCCTGACCTTGCATTTCAAAACCACCGTGGCTGTTTCTAACCATGAAAGATCTTTGCTCCGCTGTTTAAAATTTTGAGCAGCTTGGCAAGGGCCATAAAATGCCCCGCTGGATCTGGACTGGGCAGGTGGGGCACTCTTATAGTCCAGACCTGAAGCATGGGCACACCTCCTCAGGGTCAGAGCAGCACTGACACCCTCAGAAGGTCATGCACGTCTTCAGTCAGATTTATTGCAAGGTACTTAGTTTTGCTATTATTGCAAATGGCTCTAGAAGAAGAGCAACACCAAAATGGCGCCTCCTGAGCTTGGCCAGGAGCCTGGACCCATAATCCAGCCCACCTCTCTGCTTCGTAGAAGTGGAAACTGAGGCTCGGAAGTAAAGTGAACTAACTGCCCAGGTCAGGGAAGGGCCAGGTGTCTGGACTGGGACCAGGAGGCAAAGCTTATTTAGACCCAGCACGTGAGTCTGGTCCCACACCCCATATCCCCCAAACCGCCCTCTGTGGGCTTGACAAGCCTGCAGCTTCTCCCCAGTGTGTGGGACCACAGCCTGCAACAGGAGACATGCATCGGCGCCATTCATGGTTTTTGCTCCATACCATTCTGTAACTGAGGAGCCAGGTCTTTTTTAACCCAGCAGCATTGTTAGGAAATCCTCCCAGGCTGGCAAGAACACAGCCCCAAGCGGAGACCTAGGCACATGGGGTTAAAGGACACTGTGACAGCTGTGACTGGGCAGCAAGGCACTGTATCTGCTTGGAGGTGAGGGGACAGGACTGTACAGGGGCATCTCAAATCAGTGTCTCCTGCCTCAAAAAAGACCTGGCCCCACCTTGGGCCACGGCAGGACAGCCCTGGGCTCCTGTGCAAACTGCTGCAGTGGGAACAGAATGGGATACCCACCCTGTTCCCAGATGCCCACTGGTGTAGAGGCGTCTAGTGTCACATGGACCTGGGCTTGAGTTATATGTTATATAATGATGAGCCCCAGCTTCCCCATCTGTGGAGTGGGGATGTGAAAGCCTAACAGGTAGGTGTACCAGTTAATAATGCGGATTTTATAATCAGAAAACACGATAAATTCAAGGGAACATCAAGTGCTTCATTCAAAGTATTGTCCATCACTAGCTACACTTTACTCCATTTTTCAGGAAATTTGTGGATACCATCCCAATAGAACTTGTCTTGTTTTGAGGCAAATGATTCAGAGACCCAATTTTCCACTTCTTCGTATGTTCTGAAGTGCTGCTCAGAAAGTGTGTGTGTCATTGATCAGAACAAATGGTAATCTGAAGGAGCAAGGTCTGGTAAATATGTCAGTGGGTTAATACTTCCCAGGCAAGATCTTTTAATGTTTCTTTAACTGGTTTTGAAGTGTGTGATGGTGTATCATTATGAAGCAAAATTACTTTGCTGTGTCATCTGGCCCATTCTGGTCGTTTTACAATCAAAGCGTCATTCAAATTGATTATCTGTTGTTGGTAGCAATCAGTATTAACCCGTTTTAGAAGCTCACAATACACCACACCTTCCTGATCCCACCAAATGCAGAGCTTTGTCTTCTTTCTGAACCGATTTGGCCTTGCAGTCGATATTGATGGTCGACCTGGATCATCCTATGATTTTGTGCGTTTGGGATTCTCAAAATAAACCCACTTTTCATCACCAGTCACAATTTGATGCAAAAAATTTGCTTTTGTGCCATTGAAGCAACATTTTACTGATGACTTTTCATTTTCCATTTGTCTTTCCTTCAGTTGATGTGGCACCCATTTTCCTTCCTTTGAAATCTTTTCCATTGCATAAAAACTATTGAAAATTGTTTGCTGAGCAACATTTAATCTTTCTGCAAGTTGTTTTTGAGTTTGATATGCATCTTCATCCAATAAAGCTTGTAACTGTTGGTCTTCAAACATTTTCGGTTGATCTGGATGTTCTTTGTCTTTCACATTGAAATCATCACTTTTAAAGCGTTTAAACCAGCGTTCACAAGTATCCTGAGATGGAGCACTTTCACCATAAGCTTCCCGAAGTATACAGCAATTTTCAGCAGCACTTTTCTTCAAAATATAGTAATGAATTAAAACTTCCCCCAAATGCTCTTTTTTTAACACGATATTTGACATTTTTAAGCATAAAAATATCTCTGATGTTAACACCTTCAGCAAGTTTGACATATTTGGCATACATATCAACATATGTGTAACTCCATAAATTGAAAAAAAATCCGCATTATTAACCGGTACACCTGGTATGGGTCCAGGAGCTGGCTGGCATGGAGATGACCCAACTGCCACTGGATCTCCCGCCTGTCCCAGGGCCTTGGGGCTTACCTCTTCCTGTTCCTCCTCACTGTCATCGTCACTCACCACCGGCTTGGCCCGGGACCCACGACTTGGCCGCCGCCGGCCCCCCTTCAGCCGATCCTGTGCCTTCTCCTTCCGGCCCAGCTTGATCTTCACTTTAACCGAGCGGGCTGGGGTGGGATCAGAAAGGGGGGGAAACATTAGCTTGGGAGAGATACTGTGCTCTCCCAAGTTGGGGGCAGGTTGTGAATGGACGGGGCACAAGACCTCTGGCTCTCTCAGGTGGGCATGAACGCTGTGACCCTGACTATCCCAGGAAACCACCACACACCCAGACACCCCAGGACTCACACTCAGACTCCGAGCCTTCCTCCTCGCCCTCCTCCTCCTCCTCGCTCTCCTCGCCTTCGCTGTCATCCTCTTTCTCTATTTTCTGCCGCACGCTGGTGAAAACGGACTGCAGGACAATGGAGTCTTCGTAGATCTGGGCAGAAACACGTGGGTATTGAGAGGGCTGGGGCCCAATGGAGGGGGAGCTCTGGCCAGATTGGCCCATGCGGGACAGAGGGACATCTCAACTGTCCTTTCCCTATCGGTGCCCAAGGGAACATCAGGATTATGAAATGGTTCCAGATAAAAGGTCAGGTGTGTTAGTTTAGAAATAGCTGAAGGTAAAAACAAAACAAAACACACATACACACACAACCCTCCCACCCCCACCAAACAAAGAAAACAGCTGAAGGATCCTCCCCCAGAATCACAGCGAGCACTTTTAAAGGCTCTGAGATCTGCAGTAACCAGAAATGCATATCCCTTACTTTCCCCAAATTCATGACTGTAAAACCTTTTCCAGGAGGCACCTATCCAAAACACACGTGGCAAAACTTTGCTACGCTGAGACTGTGTGTGTGTTAATTTCATCACAGGAAAGGAAACATCCGTACGATTCCTTTCAAGAGTTCCCGTGTGAATTCAAAATAAAACTTCAAGATAAACAGGAGCTGTTCACAGGGCCACCTGGACGGAGGGGACGGAATCTACTTTCTCTATTTTACTTGCCTTCATTTTCTGCCCTTTTTTTTTCAGTAATGAACACATACTGCTTTTGTGATGAGTAACATATTCCAAGTTGTTGGGAATTATTTTTACACCAGTCAATTCAAAATGGAGCGAGGGGCATGGTAACTTGGGGCCCAGCCGTGGAGGTGGAAAGGCTGGGAAGGGGCGCCTCCTCACCAGGGAGCCTTCCAGGTTGAAGGTCTGCGCGTTCTGGCACAGCAGCATGACGTCCTTCTCCAAGTCGTTGAGGCTGCGGTACTTGTGGATGCGGATGCGCTCCTGCGAGGCGGGGGGAGAGGGGAGGGTCAGAGAGCCGCCTTACCCCCAGGCTCCACCCGTGCCTGGGAACCCGGGGCTGGGAGACCCTCTGCCTGACCAGGTCACAGCCCAGTCTCGGCTTCTCTGTGCGGACTCAAGAAGCCCAGACCCACTGAACACAAGAGCCACGTGGCTGAGGCCTGAAGTCTGGGTAAGCCTGCAGGAGTCCTGAACCCTGATGGCCTGGTGACACATCTTTGGGACACTTGGGGCCACCGAGGAATCTGAGACAATGATCGGGTCTCTAGCCAGGGGGCCCAAGGTCCTGGGCCAGTGAGAGAGCCCCTCCCCCCACGCTGGGGTTACCTTAATCTTCTTGAAGTCCACGGGCTTGCGGATGAGCTCGTAATACTCGGGCAGCTCCTTGCGGGAGGGCAGCTGGATGAACACCTCGCTGAGCTGACGTCCACTGCTACTGTAAGGGAACAGAGCGGACATTACTCACAGGCCCTGCCAACTGGGGGAGCCTGGAACATTCCGGAGAGGCAGCCATGCATGGAGAAAGTCAGGGATGTATTTCAATCCAGGCTCTGAGCTCACTCAATTCCCGCGACCCCCCTCGGCCCACGTGCCACAAAGCCAGCCTCGGCACTGGACAGATCACGATTATGCACGAGGCAAATATCAGTTTGCTCTGAGAGGTGACTGTACATGATGAGGGAGAATCATTGATGGGCTACCTCCTGCACATCCCCCACTGGGGATCAAGCCCACAACCCAGGCACGTGCCCCTGACCGGAATCAAACCTGGGACCCTTCAGTCCACAGGCCGACACTATCCACTGAGCCAAACCAGCTCGGGCATGTTGTGTTGTCTCTTGCAGACAGCAGTTAGGAGCAGTGACCGTCAGAGAATCTGGCAAAAACCCAGGGAGAAAGATGGCCCCCAGCAAGATGTTAACGAAAGATAAAAGCTGTTTTCTAGCCCCTTCCCCAGCTTGTTTTCCAAGGGAGCCGAGGAAAAACGTGGCATGTGTACGTCTCACGCCATGAGAGGCGACCGGGCCTCCTGCAGCCACTCCTGGGTGTCACTCCTGGAGAAACCTGTGCAGCAGGCCAGCAGGTTGCGCCACACCTGAGCCTGGCTTTGTACTAGGGACAGGAGCTCAGATGAGACATCATTCCGGGGAGGGAGTGAACAGGAGCTGGATTCAAGACCTGAAGGACCAAGGGAGAAGAGAATGCCCCCTGCGCCAGCCTCCCTGCTGTTCAGTCAGCCTGGAGGATGGCAGTTCTGCCTCCGGGAACCTAATGTGCCCCAGGGGTTCCATCCTGCTGGGGCTCCAAACAGCCAGCAGAGGCCCAGGTCATCCCGGGAGTTGGTGACCTATTGGCAACCTTGCTCTCCCGGCCTCTCCCCCCCACCCAGGCGCCCACTCATTCCAGCTGAGCTTTAATCCAGGTCCTGCTGCAGGATGTCTGACCCATTGGGCTGGCCCACCTCCTTCTGGCTGCTTCACCACTCGGGCTTTTCAGTCACAGGAGACCGTGGTTCAGGCCCAGAGCTGCCTCTGGGCTGAGCCCCTTTGGCTCAACTGTTTTCCTTTTCTTTTCAACAGAATTCTCAAAGGACAGAGCAGCCTGCCCACTCCATCCCCAAGTTTGCCCCCACTCCTTTTGTTTTGGTTTACCATTCTGGAAGACAGTAGTGACAACACAACTGCTATTCGGGTTTTGTCACTGGATGCCCCAATTTCATAATGGCCTTAAGGAGCAGCTTGGCCAGCACCGCCTCCCCGAGGCTGTTCCCAGTGGGATCCCTGGAAGCCTTTGTTCATCTGGGGTTTTTGTGCATCATGAGGGCCCTGGCCTGAAAGCGGGCTGGAACCCACTCCCTGCACCTTGCCTTGGACAACTGCCGTCACTTGGGCCAGACACACTTTAACACGGGTTCTCATCATGCTGTTATTTTAATGGTTGTGATGAAGGAACTGAGGCTAAAGTTCAGCCTGCCCTGCAGGACACAACTCACCTCGGGCCTTGCCTTCCTCCCAGTGTTACCGAGGATACCGGTAAGTGGCTGCCTCCTGCTTTCTTTCCTGCCCTGTGCAGGGTCAGGCGCCACAGGGTCAGGCTGTCCTTCCCAGCCAGGGAGCTCCTCCCCGACACAAGCTTCCTTTCTCTCATGAACAGGCAGGTGGGTGGTTTGGCAACAACTGGAATTCATTTGTGTGAACTCCAAAAGTGAGAACAGGTAACAAAACACGCAGAGCCTCCTTTCTCACGGCAGTGTCATCCCACACTTTGGCAAGATGTTGGGGAGCATTGCATTTTACACTCTGACCCAGGACTCTCACCCACACGTGTAAAATAACAAGTTCTGTGGGGCATTAGTCTCCCTTACAAAGTGCAATGGATTTCGATTTCCTACTCTCTCTCTCTGAAAACGCCAGCTGGGACCCACAAAATTCACTCCAAAGCCCACTGACGGTCACAGACTTCCAGCTTGAAAAGCCCTGCTTGCAGTGCCAGGGCCGGTGGAGCCCTGTCACCTGTGAAATCCATGCAGGTGGCCGGCCTCAGGAGCATTTGGCCCTCTAGGTGGGACTTCAGTGCTGTAACAGAACAGGAAGTTTCATAAGACCCCCTCTCCTCTGACAGCCGAAGAAATTGTTTGAGAGCAAAGAAACAGGGCCTCCTCTTCTAAACCTCCGGGAATCGCGTCTTTGAGGAATAAAGGCCCACCTGCCACCAGCCCGACAGCCCTTCTCAGCTGTAATGAGCTCTGAGTGCAAAGGCCTTGACCTGGGTGTACACGAGGAGGGAGAGGGAGCCAGAACCACAGGGCCTTTTAAAGCTGTCCTCTCTCAGACAGCCAAGGCTTCTTGGAAAGCCACTGATTTAAGACTTTACTTGCTCAGAAGCCCCTTGAAGAGTCAGTCCACTAAACCCCAAGCTTGAGATCAAAAGCCATCCAGACTGCCTCACCAAACCTCAACTTTTTTTTTTTTTTAATATGTTTTTATTTATTTCAGAGAAGGGAGAATGATAAAAAGATCAATGATGAGATGACTCCTGCATGGCCCACACTGGGGATAGAGCCCACAACTTGGGCATGTGCCCTGACCAGGAATCGAACCAGTGACCTGTTTCATAGGTCGACATGCAACTATTGAGCCATGCTGGCCAGGCCCTCCTCATCTCTGTATCAGAGGTGCATCTCCCACAGCTCTCCACCTCCTGTAAATAAATCCCAAAGTCCTTCTGACAGTCGCACAGTCCTCCAGGATGGACTGTCCACGGCCTCTGATGTCAGTGTCCCTCTCTGTACCTCCTCACACCCATGTCACTGCTCTCCTAAGAATCCCAGGATCCTGCCCTCCCTCGGCACAAATGTCACCTTCTCCTGAGAGTGTTCTGACCCGTCCTCCTTGCCCTCAGACCTCTTAATAAAAAAGGAGGCGTGAGCTGTAAGACAAAGTCACACATCTTCAGCATTTGGCTCCCTGAGGTGCCCAAGGCTCCTGTGAGCCTCCCTGAACTTTGACACTGGCTGAGCTTGGCTTTTTCTTGAACTTGATGTTACAGGATCACAAAAGTGAGCCCCCAGGCCTAGCAGTGCCGCTCACCACTGAGATTTACCTGTTGGTGCATGTAGCAGCTCACTGTTTAGTAACTGCTGTGTGCTCCAGAGCAAGTACCCCCTGTGGTCCACTTGTCCATCTGCTGTTGAGGGACACTCAGGCTGTGTCTGGCTTGGGATATCATATAAACAAGCGGCTGTGGACACTTGTGTCTGACTTTTCGGCTCGCACCTCTCGGGAATTTACCTGGGGGCAGCAGTGCTGGATCACGGGGCAGAGGACACCCAGCTCCGGTAGCTACTGAGCCTGCGTCCACTCCTCCAGCAGCAGGTGAGCGTCCTGGTTCTGTGCAGCTGCACTTGCTCCCGTCGCTCCTCCTCGATGTGGGCGGTCTACGTCCTGCTGTGCATTGTTATCGCTTTGTGGTTTTAATTCACATTTCCACCTTTTCACAGGTGCACCGGGTCTGACAGTCTGTCGGGCACACCTGCTTCCCCTGGGAGTGCTCTGCTGGACATATTTATTGCAACCCCTTCTCCAGTCTATGTCTTCTTACTCCCTGGATGGTCTTTTGGTGAATAGATACTAATGTTAATCAAAGTCCTAATTTATCAGTATTTCCTCTTATAATTGGTGTTTCTCCTGCCCTGTTAGAGAAATCTTTGACTACTCCCAGGTCACAGAGATATTTTCTAGAAGCTTGGATATTTTCACTTTTTTACATTATTAGATATGAGGCCGGTCGCCCTGGAGAGTTTCTCTCCATAGAAGTTACCATTCACCCCGCCACACCCAGAAAACGAGCCATGAGGGCAGAGACCTTGCCTGTTTTATTCACTGTTCTGTCTGTGGCACTTGAAACAAAGCAGCAGGTGCTCAAAACACATTTGATGAATGGAGGGAGAGAGCTCAGGGTGAAAGCCTCAGGATCACAGGGCAGAGCTTGAACTTGGGTGCCTCACCACCCCCAACCCCGTGCGGACATTTATATACCATCCCATTACAGAAAACACTCTGGAAGCAACTACCAGGAGTCCCACTGCAGAGCACACTTCCCAGCTTGTGAGACTTGCTCTGAAAAAGCTGCTGCATACAGTTGTTCGGAACTCCACCCCCAGCCCTGAGCGTGTCCAGCAGTCCTGGCAGGGGTGGGATGGAAATGAAGGAGCCTGAAGAATCATGAAGCTGTCAGCATCAGCCCCATGATTCCAATTCAGACAGGAAGGAAGGAAATGCCTTCTAGCTCAGGCTGTCACTGGTTTGGCAAGAGCAACCATGGCTGTTGCTGACAATCCATATGATGATGAGAAAAATGATGTTATTCTTCCTCTAGATGTCAGCTCCCAGAGCAGGGGCTTTCCTCAACCTCGTCACTACCCAGTCCCCATCATTACAACAGGACACGTATGCAGGAGGTGCTCAGAGAGACCAAAGCCTTGTCTAATTTTACAACAAGCCCTCCTCCTTGGAGCTGGAATAGCCTTGGTGGAGACCCTTGTTATTTAACCTGCACAGACAGTGTCTGCCTCTCTGTGGAAAAGTGCCCTCCCCTACACTAACTTGGGGTTCTGGTGGGGCTGACCATCATCCAGCCAAGCAGAGTCCTGCTCTGGGATTTTCTACCAGCAGCTGGGGAAGCAGCAAGTGCTTGTGGAAGCCATGGTTCAGCCATGAGAACCATGGGAGGACTCTAGGTCCCAAGATTTAGTCTTCACTAACTCCGACATGGCCTCCAGGCCAATGAAATCCCTTCTGGGCCTGAAGGGTTTAGAACTGGGTTCCTGATGGGCAGAAGCCAAAAGTCTGAATTGACACATCCCTTTGAGTATATTGTTTGGTTTAGCCTTAAAATAAAATTACATCTCCTGGAAGAGGAACAAAGAATCAGAAG